TCTGACCTGAAAATTTCATGTCTTCTAGCAGTATCTATGAAACTAAAATAGCCAAATGTATAAGCTTCAAAGTATGGTAAAATCTCAGTTCTTTACAATTCTTGACACTTCTCATTTTCCTTATCATTCTTGATTTATTTAATGGTAACTATAATGCATACAGTGGCACTACTTTTATTCTGATCATATAAAAGATGAGATAACTCTATGCCACAATCATCAAAACTGACAAATGCAGCTAATAATAAAGTAAATCGCTGTTTCAATATGTTCTATCTGGAAAATAAGACCTTCTGTGCACTCTTTGTTTCTCCTTAAATCCAGTAGCAAGGTATTTTGTTCTGATTGAGAGTAACTTGTGTATTCACACTTCCTGACCTAAGGGCATAAGAGAGACCTGGGATAGGAATGAGGAAAGCATGAGCTTCAAATGACTATTAGGAGACAGATCATAAGAACACTTCAGTCTCTGGCCAAAAATTCCCGAAACCCCAAGAGATAGCAAGTTCTGTAGGCAAACTTTACCAGCCGCAGTGTTAATTAAATCAACATCATTCACTCATGTCAGAAACAAAGGAGCTGTGATGCCTCAGGCTACACTGAAATGCACAAAGAGAATTTGCATTAATTGAACTACAAATCTAAGAGGCAGGAGAGTTGTCGAAGTGCTGACTCAAGGCTAGGTAAGACATCACTGGCACTTGTGGACATGTAGCCATCTTACATGAGGGCCGTAAATCTAGCTATTTAAGGTAAGTTACTATACTCTTCACTCATACACACACTATTATTCTCAGAAAAAAAAAAGTGCATGCTAAGAATAGATAAACTTGGATAAAGTGGAAAATAGACACTGTGCTTCCCTAATGGCATTTACTTAAGTTTTTCTGAAATTACTATAATAGTGTTTCACAGAGGAAAATGTTATAGAAATTCTAACAATTTGAAGAAAAATAATGCATTAATACATTTTCCCCGTTGTCCCAAATGTGTAACCTATAAAAACTTAAATTATGCAACAAATATACCACTTACGATTATTATATTTTTAGAAATCTTTTTTGAGAAATAGGTGAATGATTAGAGCATTTGAAAATATATACAGAAATATATATTTTATAATTTCTAATTATAAAGTATATATTTCTGTATATATACAGGAATATATATTTATAATTTCTAACCTATTGTAATATACCTGTGTTTTTTCATTGAAATTGTCATAGAATTGAAAACATGAAACTTAATGGGTTTATTTTTACCCTCAATGCTTGAGATCAAATCCAGGGTATGATGCATGCCAGTCTATCACGTAACCACCTCCAGACTCAACGTCAGGGGTTAAGCTTAAATATTCATGTAGTTTGTGAAAAAATCTGCTTTTTCTCTGAAGTATAGGGATAGATACATGTCTAATTTCCTCACTTATCATGGAAAATAGTGATCTGATCTAGGACCTTGAATATGCTAGGCAAGAACTCTACCACTGAGCTATACACCCAGCTCCAAAACATAATCTAAATTCTGTTTTCACACACACACACACACAACAACAACAACAACAATAAAAAAACCAAAATATTATTTACTGGAATTATTTTGAAGATGTACAAACATATTGAGAGCCCTTGACTATTGATATGAGAATGGGACTTTGTGAAAGCTAAGGGAGATTTGGACCAAATATTTAAAAGTAATCATGTTCTTTGTCTATGAAATAATAATAGTAATAATTGTAGTGAGTGTGAATTTCAGGATCTAGACTACTGAACTTTACCCAGATTTATGCAAAGCAATCCACTCTAATATTTTCTTTATCCAACATGTTCCTTGCATTGAATAGTCATCTTTCCTTGAAATACTAAATAGATTTTCTGTATTTACTTATGTTTGTTTGGCATTTAAGTGCCGTAAATCTTAAATGTTCCTGACCAAGAAATTTGTTCACAGTGTTCTTATTAGTCAATCTCAGACAACTGCCAACTAGACTTTGAATAAAAGTAAATGTTAGGGCTGGGGATGTGGCTCAAGTGGTAATATGCTCACCTGACATGAGCCGGGCGCTGGGTTCGATCCTTAGCACCACATAAGATAAAGATGTTGTGTCCACCGAAAACTGAAAAATAAATATTAAAAAATCTCTCTCTCTCTTCTCTCTCTCTTTTTAAAAAAGTAAATGTACTATATATATTTTAGTGTTCTTTCTAAGTCATAAATCAGTTGAAATCAGAGACCAAATAATATGAATATAGAATGAATCACTTATCAATGTATATTTGTGGAGATAGGGATTAGTTGATTTCAGACTTTTGTTCAATAAGAGAGAAAGTTCTTCGCTGCTCCAGTAAAGATAGCTAAAAAGATTTCAAATTTGCATATAGATTATTTTATCAGTTTCCTAATTTTAAAATTAAATTCAGCTTCATTTGCCCTATAACAGAAAAAAAAAACATAAAGTACATTACAAAAATACTCTTAGGCTAATTGTTTCATTACTATCTTAATGGACTAGATAGCTAGCTAAATGGAAGACTATAATAATTATGATATTATTAATAATAATAATGGCAACATTTGTATAACATTAACTATATGCCAACCATTATTTTAAGAATTTCACATATCTTTATCCGTTGAATCCTCAAAAATCCTGTGGATTAAACATTGTCATTGCATTCATTTTAAACATAAGGAAATTGAAGACAGGAAAGTGAATGAGTTTCTCAGCTAGTAAGTTAGTCCTGAGAAGTAGTGATCCCAAACTGTAATCCTAATCACTACCTAATTGCACTGTTGAAGCATTCCAATTTTCAAAAACAAAATACACCAATTGGGAAGAATTTCTTTCCAAATTCTGTTTCTTAGCATTCTGTTTCATTTTCACTATTTATTTTTGAGTGACTCTCTATATAATATTTCTAGTTGGAGTCTGCAGCTGGTAAAAATGCAAAGAAATATTATTGAACAAGCATTGTAAAGGTGTATTTCTATATAGTAACATCTATAAAGAAAAAAATCCAGAACATACATAATTTTTTAAAACCCTGGATATTAATGAAAAGCTAACATATATTAAGAAGTTACTATACTCCAGGTGGTATACTAAAATGTTTCATATGCAACACCTAATTTACCCCTTGCCATCATCCTAGGGGTAGATTCTGTTAATATCTTCAACTTACACATGGAGAAATTAAGAATGAGAGTGACTCAGATATTTGTCTAAGTGCTAAACATGAATTTTCCATCCAGCCCTTGTAACTTGGATTACATATTGTAACTTGCTTCATATGGAAAAATAAAAAAAAAATTCTCAAGTCAGAAATCAAAAGGAAAGCTTTAAAATTAAGAGGGTTATTCAACTAGAAGATTGTCTATGCTCTAGTAGATTTCAAATGTAATATGTTTTGAAATCCAACCAGCAAAATAAAAAATCAGCTACAGTCTACAACACATAGAAAAGAAAGTAAATAGCAGCTCTCTTTTCCATTGTGCCAGAACAGGAAAGTGCTCAGTAAAATTAAATGTCAATGAATTAAAGATAAAATTAAACTTTCTTCTAAGCATAGGCACAATTAACCTGTGAAAATTCCTCATATTGGATGGTAATGAAGCAGATAGCTTAGTGAAATTGAGAACTTATCTGATTCACTATAATGGGATTTTCAGTTAGATCAAATCACACTTTGTATTAGTCATCCTGAGTCAGGGCATATGTTGATTAGTAGAAAGAGTTGCAAAAGAAAAAAAAATTCTTTTTTTTTCAGATCCAGAAGAGCCACTACTAGTAAATATGATAATAGTAAATATTTATTACATCTGCTTATGAGGAAATGCAAAGTGGATTTCTCAGTATGTGTGAATACATAACTCTGTCTCTCATATAATACTAACCATTGCTTTGTCCAGGAGGTTACATTTCTATATCTTCTTGGTTTTGAATGAAGATAAATTTGGCACTGGGGATGTGGCTCAGTGGTGGAAGTGCCTACCTGGCATGTATAAGGCCCTAGATTCAATCTCTAGCAGTACCAAAAAAAAAAAAAAAGAAAAAGAAAAAATTTTCACAGTATTTTTTCCTTGCAATATGAGAGTAGAACTATCTTAGTGGAGTTGTGAGAAGTTTAGGTGTGATTGACAAAATAGTATGAAGTAAGGATGGATGGATGCTGCAGAAGCTCACCACAGGAGAAGAACAGTTTTGCAAGTCTCTACACATGCGTCATAAAATTGAGATTTTTATCCCAACTCCACTGTCTCTTGAATAATAGACCATAAGAAAATGCCTTCACATTGAAGTGTTGGGTTTTCCCATTTTGTAAAATAAAAGGTTTGAATCAGATGAAATCCTAATATTCTATGTTTATACCCTTTGATTTATCACTGTCTATATTTTATAGAAGCTTGCAATAGAGTTCTTTTAAAATAAGCCTAAAATATACAGAAGTGTTTCAGTGAGTCTTTAAGATTCACTGTTCATGTTCCTCTGTGATAAAAGCCTCTTTTAGGCTTTGAAATAAGTGCTTTGGATGGACCTGTTTGTCTTTTGACAAGAGGGCATAATGATTATTTTGGCCACTCAGATTATACATTATAAATTTGGACATGATATCATAGTACTAGATTTTTTTCAACAGTCTATACTGTATTTATGCCTTTTTGCTCACATGATTTTTTTCCTGTTTTACTGCAAATCACTCTCAATAACAATATATTGAAGTTCGGTTATAACACCGTTATGATCAATTTGTCAATACTTGTTACAAATGGAGAAATCTATTTGAAGAGAAAGGACCCATCATTCATATGGAAGGTCATAAAGATAAAATTGAAAAATATTTCTGGAATATTGATATTTTCACAAATCAAATCCATAAACAACTCATTCCTGTTTGAATTAAATAAACACCTTAAGCAGGTTTAAATAAACAAGTAGTGGACATTAATTTTACTGCTATTTTAAAATTAGTTTCTTTTCTTTTCTTTTTTTTTTTTAACAGATCTGGATAATGTAGAGGGCATTGCTGTGGACTGGATTGGAAATAACCTTTACTGGACAAATGATGGCCATAGAAAAACAATTAATGTGGCCAGACTGGAAAAGGCTTCTCAGAGTCGGAAGACTCTTTTAGAAGGAGAAATGTCCCATCCCAGAGGAATTGTGGTGGATCCAGTTAATGGGTACGCAATTTTAAAAAATCAGCTTTATGTCAGAAAAATTATACTAAAGAAATCTGTTTTTCATTTTATTTAAATTTCATATGTATAAATGAATTCACACTTGGATAGTCTGATTAGGAAAAGTTACTCATATTAATGATTTCTTCTCCTAGAAAATATACTAAATAAAAATATCAAAATACATTGAACTGAAATAAATTATTTGTATAAAGTCTATATTACTTCATTTACTCAGATGAGCTATTTTGGGAAGTCTGACACCAAGATAATTAATCTATTTAATCAGAGTATCAATCTTAATTTTAAAAATGATATTGAAATTTACTGTGTTAAAAAGAAATAGCAAATGTTTCTGTACATTTATTATGGATCAGACATTTTGTGCTCCTAGCTGTATTCTTCACAATAATCATATGAATTGGTTGCTATTATCATACTACCCTCCCATTTCATGAAGGAGAAACTGCTAACTGATCTGTGAATGGCTGAAACCCAGGCATCCTGTCTCAAGACTTTATGCTTAACCACTGTACTCCATTGCTTTTGAGAGTATAGGTTAATGATCACATAATTTTGGATACAACCATAGTTTCCATATAGAGACATCACTTTATAGTACATGGTACTTGCTTAAGACAAAGTATTTTGTGCAATTCTTGGTAAAATATGCCCCCCACACACTTTTTTTTTAGTCAGAGCTATTACCTGGTGCAAACCTACACTCATAGAAATATCAAAGAAATGTGGAAATTCTTAGCAGAAATTCAGAATCAAATGAATGTATTGCATATTTTATGTACAGTTTGTGTGTTTTTATTTCCATGACCTATATACATTATGTTTTTCAAAATAGCACCACATAATTAATATTCTTTATACCATATTGCACACATACAGAAAATATTTAATTAAATAAATATTTATTTAATTAAATTTATTTAATTTAAATAAATCCCTTATAAACAGAGATCATTGAAGTGCAATTCTTAGAATTGTTTGGGTTGAGAATATGTTCAGACATAATCAAGATGCTTCTTCTAGGCTGTGGATGAACTCATTGTATGTTTTCATAAAGGCATAATTAAAATAAAGCAATTTCAATGATTTTATGTGTCAACTTCATAATTATTTTTTCTCTTCTGGGACTGTTAAACCAAAGCATTTGTCTGACCTTATACCAAGGCAATCTTAGTTTCAGAAAAAGTGTGTATTCCAAATTGTTTAAAGCTGCTTGAAACAAGAAATTTAAAAAATGTGTTAAAATGACCTCTTTCTTCTTAGTATTGTGTTAGAGAAAACTGTTTTCTGATAGAGTTAAACATTCTTTATTGTTCTCAAAGAGATGACATAAATATTGAGGCTATAAAATCAAGCCACAAGCTCCATCTTTCTTATCAATTCAGAAACCATGTTCAAACACCTCTCTAGTAGGCAGAAATCCAACTTGTGTTTGAAACCAACATCATCCACATAGCTCATTCTTTTGGGGGGCAATCTTGATTATCTTGATATAAATTTATATTTTACATAAAGACAACATCTGCATCCCTGTCAGTCTGCTTACCAATGAACTCTACATTTGGCTGTGTGTTACAAAAAATTACTTTTATACCTCTTTCATCAAACACTTTTTTTTCCCCAGCTGGGATAGTGCTGATATGCACTGACATCAGAAACAAAAATCACATATATCACAAACAAAAATCACATAAGTTAAAGGATACATGTGCACATATTTGCTTATTTAAACACACATACCCCCCCCACACACACACACAACATTCTTCCCTAACAATATGCAGGGTTCATAGCTCTATGCTAAGTATACCATGGTTTACAAAACAATCAGACTTATTAACACTCAGGAATCACCTGGTATCTTCTGGAAAGTGGAGAGTAGAAGGTGTAACAATAAATAAGTAAAGAACAGAGAGCATATGAAGAAGCATCACAAGATGAAACTATAAATATGCAGAATTTTTCAATGTTTTGATAAGAAGTTTGATTTTATTTAAGTGATATTAGAAAAATTTAAAAATTAAAGCCACATTTTAAAATCATGATTCAAGAAAAAATTATTTTTGCCAATTTGACAGAAACACAATAGATTTGAAAAAGGATGTCCATTAGGAGTTCATTTTTAATGATAGCATTTGTAATAAGAACAGAACAGTGGACATTGAAATAAGAGACACTGAAGAAATAGAATTGGCAGGTCTTAACAACTTCAGGAAGAATAGATGATGTTATAATTGTTCCTCAAGCTGATAACGACAAATAATCTCATTTCTTTATTCTAATTTCATAATTTATATCAATAACAGAGTCCCAACATCTCAGTCTGACTTCTCAAAATAGCCTCTAAAATGAAATATGTCCAAAGCAGAGTACATATTTTCCTTCCCAAAGCATTCTTTTATATCCTTATCTCAATGAATAATATCATACCTCTCTAGCTAGCAGCTTTATAGTAAGTCAGAAACCAAATCAAAATATTCAGTGGGAAACATTTATTTTACTTCCATGCTAGTGAAGCCTTTAAGGATTTAAACATTTTCTAGCATTGATCATTCAATAATGCAATTAGATTTGGAACATGATTAATCTTAGCAAAGCCAAGCTTGGCATTCCAGGTTATACTGTTGAATAAAGAATAACCCCTTCTCTTGTTTTAATTTTAATTGGAATCATCAGACATGCAATATTATTCAATATTATATAGGTATGGTTCAAGAAATACTATAACAAACCAAAAGCATCACTAAGAAACAGAGGAAGGAGCTTTGATTCTTACGATCATAAAGGATGAAAATAAACTTCATAAAATTTGTGTTTGAATAGGCATCGTAAATAGTGGTAGGATCTTTCTTGCTATATTAGCAGAATGTCAAATTAACCTAAATTTTTTTTGGTGAATACTCAGAGTTCTACATGCAAAAATGTCAGTTCCTGTTTATGTTATAGATTATATTCATATTTTGTGTTTAGGAATTATCATCATATGATATTAATTATACAGCTTTTCTAATATAAATTTTAAGCAGATAATTAAATGAGTAAATAATCACCTACTTATAGTTAACCTTTATCAGATGGGCATTGCTTACTTAGAAAATTATTCTTTTTACATTTTGTTTAAATAAAAACAATCTTAGTAAATTGATAAGTTCAAATACAATACTTTTTTCAAACAGCAAAACAATATCTAATATTTTTAAAGTACTCAGACTTACCCTTCACATGTACATGTATATACATGTGCACACATTTATGTGTGGATCCAGTTAGAAAGATAGGTGAGGAGATGGGAATGAGTTATGTGTTTTGCCATGGTCAAGAGGAAGAGCTGAAGAGAAAGATTATTGCAATTTTAACAAGTTATAAATAAGGGACAAAGATAAAACTGTGTCTATTAACAGTATATAAGATAATTTCAGTTATATATGAATAGAGATGAAAAATAGTATCTATCATTTTATATAGTTGATTTATATAATTGAAATCAAGTAGTTTTACCTAAGGTAGAATTAGTATAAATAGATGTCTCTCTTCTTTGTTCATAGGCCATTCCAATAGTAAAAACATATTAAGGAAATACAGGACAGAAGATAGAAATATTGCTATTTATTTATATGATCAGTAAATTCTATAGTCTCAATATAATTTGTCTGGTTTGAAAAGACTTATCAACATTATTGTAAACTGTTAAAGGAATTTAAATAGAGCTTAAATGGATGGTCTGTTACAACCCCAGTTTTCCCAAATCTGCCAATTTAGAGCACAGTAGGATTCTTATTCATGGGTAGAGATTTTACCCAAATTACCTCAGAAATTCTTTAGGGACCACAAAATGTGGGAAGCAGGAGATCTAATAAGGTTATTTTTAGGGTCAGTAGCTTAGAAAAGCTTTGGAGCTTTATAAAGTTGTGTATGAGGTGAGTGAATGAAAACCTACATTTTAATTAATTATGCAGGAACTTTCACATGACCCCAAAACAACACATGTGGCAGGTTTTAACCTTATTCATGAGGGAATTGGAACATTAGCTCAAGGTCCACTCTCCTACTGTTACAGCTTACACAAAAGATTTGTTTTTAAAGGCAGGTGCTTTTGTTTGAGGTAGAATTAAAAGCTCAAAATCTCAAGGTCAGTCAACCTGCTGTTATTAAACTTATGTGCATCTAAATCATCTTTTGTGGGTTTTGGGGTAATAATAAGCAGCAATAAAGTGTAGATAATTTGCATCAGGATGACAAATTGGACCTGACCAAACAAACACAGTGTGACTGTGTCCTTTAGAACAAAGGCAATCCAACTGCCTGTCTTAAAAATAATAATTCACCTGAGATTAAATAAAGTCTGGAGTAGATCATTAACTGAGTGCCATGGGTTCTCATGTCAGTCTATCTGGTTTTTAATCACATAATTGATTATATCTTTTGTGAAGCAGACAATATTTTAAAATAGTAATGCTTCAAAAACTTATTTCCCTGACTTGGATCTCAACATCAAAGAAAACAGATATTTGACACTTACTGTCAAGTTAATTAAGACACAAGGCCAATAAGCATAGTAGTGGTGGAAGTAGGTTTTCCATATGATTCTGAATAGATTGGTTCAATGAGACAAATCTTTACTTTCCTTAGAACTCCACAGTTGCACCCTCCCTTTGAAGGATAAGCATTTTAGATAGAACATATCAGACTGTAATAGATTTTCTGGAACTGCCAAATCCTAGGAAGTGTCTCTCTATATGGTGGCTGGTTGAAATAACATGTACACACTCTTGTTTTAATGTCTTAGTTGGATGTATTGGACAGACTGGGAGGAAGATGATATAGATGACAGCGTGGGAAGGATCGAAAAGGCTTGGATGGATGGCTTCAATCGGCAGATTTTTGTGACTTCAAAGATGCTGTGGCCAAATGGTTTAACTCTGGACTTTCACACTAACACATTATACTGGTGTGATGCCTATTATGATCATATTGAAAAAGTGTTTTTGAATGGAACTCACAGGAAGGTAAAAGACAACTGCTGCTGTTTTTAACCCACAGGCTTTTTTCTTTCACAGAGCCTTGTTGTGTTGTGTTAAAAATACTTTCAAGTTTATTTTTACCCCTCTGAGGTAGCTGCCAATAGTCTCTGTGGGGTGGCTAAAGGAGGCTGAGCATTAAGCATTGCAGCTGGCACTTGCCTCCAGGAGACCAGACCCAGCTCACTGTGGTATGCCAGGATTTGTGGGATTTTTAAAAGAAGCTCTCAGGATATCAGAACTGTTTTAAAATGCAGTTTTCCTACATTATTGATGAATTTTATATGACCAAGGAACTCAACTCTATACAAATATGTTCAATATTTGCAGCTGGAATTTAATGTATGCAAAGATGATTTTGAGGTTCTTGGACAAAATTGAGGACGATGCAGTTGATTGTTAGAGAGACCAGACATCACCTTTATATTTCATCTTATAATTACTTAACCATATACAACAGCATGATCTAACTTCAACTATTACTTAAATAATGGAAGGATCACATGTTAGAAATCACCAAAATGCTTCTTTTGACATTACATTCTTTCCTTTTTGGAAAGAAAACTGCACAATTAGGTAATTCTACTGATTGTAGATTTTGTTTGAGAAATAAATAATACTCATTGGTTAAGCTTATTTCAGTCATTGGTTTACTCTCAGAGTTCCAAATATTTTCCCCAAGTTAGATAAAACTGGTTGGCATTTAGCCAAAGGCAATGTATTTAACAGGTGCTAACTAAGTATTTACAATTTCTTTGAATTTGATAATATGTATACAACATACAGATCACTTTTATGGTAAGCATATTTTAGCATACAGTAAGGTGAGAAAAAAATCAAGAAACTATCTTAATTATGCAATGTATGTTAATTTGACATGAAGAATTCAGTTAAAAAGAGGAAAAATTAATTTTTTAATCATAAATAAGGTAGGTAACTTCCCTAATTTTCTACCAAATTAAGTTAATAGAAATGTTTTCTCATATTGTAACAATATTATTTTTAAATGACAGAAGGTGTAAAAGTATTATTGTTGGAGGTATTATTTGTCTTCTAGAATTCTACATGTGTAAATGGACTTAAATATATATCACATGATTTCTCTATTTAAACATCAACAAAACATAGTTCAAATGTAAATGAACTTATTAATATAATCAGAATTGAAATTATGCCAGTAAGCCTTATCCACGTACTAACAGTAAACTTTTCTATCTTCAAAATTAAAGTCTTAATCTTCTTTCCTTTCATCCCCTAGATTAGTTCAATTTTCCTGGGACCAGTTAATTCAGAAGGAATCCCTTTCATTCCCACTGCCTTTACATTTTCCTCCCTTTGGCCATTGGATGGGCAATATTGCAATATATATGACACTAATTATTTAGTTCAATGTCTAGTGAAGAATATGATACTATAATATAATAAGGAAAAGAGATTGGAATAAATATTAGGAAAAATCATTTTCATGTTTGCATTCTTTTTTTATTAATTGCTCATGACAATACAATGATCTTAACATATCATACATTTGAATCAAATGGGGAATAATTTTTCATTTTTCCAAGTATACAGGCTTCAGAATCACATTGGTTGCATTCTTTACTGTTGAAGTACCATTTACGAGAGAATTGAAATGGATATAATATAGATGGTATCTTTCATATTGCATGATATAAAAAAGAAAAATATGCTCATGTTATGAAATTCATTATTCCAATGTACTGGAAGAAAACAGGAATTAAGACATTAGTTAGGTCATTGTCTGTTATGCTTACTTAAACATCATTTTCTCTAAATATTAAGTCATGTTTCTAATGGTCATTTCTAATTTTTCACAATGTGTTTACATTTTCCAGATTGTATACAGTGGAAAAGAATTGAATCATCCCTTTGGATTGTCACATCATGGCAATTACGTGTTCTGGACTGATTATATGAATGGTTCCATTTTTCAACTAGATTTGATAACAAGTGAGGTGACATTGCTGAGGCATGAAAGACCACCTTTGTTTGGGCTTCAGATTTATGATCCACGAAAGCAACAAGGTACTGAAAAAACAGATTAAAAAACAACAACAAAAAACCCTTCTCTGTGTTTCATATATAATAATGCTTCACAGTATTGTAAAAAGCTTTTATTTTGAAAGTGTTGCCAATGTTTTATGATCAAAGGTGTCCACCCAGGTGTCACTCCTTTGCCAATCAAATCTTCACTTTTGTTAATGTATAAAATATATTTTTTATTGTTCTATTTATAGCCTGGCTTAGTAAATTTGGTGATCCTGAGCGAAGATCAAGGTTTTCTTAAATATTTTCTTTTTCATGTCATTTCCCTAAAGAATACTCTTTGTTAAATAAAGTATGCATATAAAATGAAAGAAAAGAAAACATGTTTTTAAAGAGTAGTTACTGTGAGCACTGAGGAAAAACTTCCACACTTTGAGAAAAATTGAAAAATTGAAAAAACAAATAAATTGCATTGTATAAGTGTTATTTAAAAAAAGTAACTAGCTTAATATATTTTTCTGATTAGTTTCTATATATATTTAAAGAACATGTCATTATTTTAGATGATTTGATTGTATAACTATGACAATATTCATTTCTTATTAAAATCAGATAATTTTAAATGTTTCATCTGCATGACTTGTTAATGTTTGTTATGCCAGCACAAATAGCATGATTCATAGCTTAGATATTAAACAAAGAAAACAGCTTAGTAAATTATGTTGCAGTTTTTTATGATTCTAAATAGTCACTTTTCCTTTTTATGGCAATATCCTTGTAAAAATTTAATGAGGATACATTTCAATAAATTTAGAATGAATGAATTATATCCTCAATTCTCTGGTGCATATGTTGTCAATAGGAAGTTATCTACCAACAAGTTTTTGAAGATATTTTAGCTAAAGTAGCTATCTTGAAGTCAACTATCTCATTCCAGGGCTTTTCTTTTAGTGTATTAAAATTGCTTTATTGAGACACAAGCACAATGTTTTAAAATAATAGCAGTGAATAACATGATACATATCAGTAGCTAAAACAGGATAAATTTATCTTTAAAAGGAATAAAAATAGAATTATTTGGGATAGCATAGGTTATTGCTGTGGACAAGAGCTAAAAATAGAGACAATTGCTAGCACCTCAAAGGGAAATATTTTCTGTTACATTCTAATTACCCTGTCTTTGCCCACATCACCATTATATTTTGTCTATACTAAACTAGAGGCAAAAATGAAGAGGAAAAACTCTTCTTATTTTCTGTAGGATCTTGTTTTAAGGATTATTATTTTTTTTCTGCCTTTACAACCATTGATTCCATAATTTATATATATATATGTATATATATTTATATGGGAATGAACCTAGGAGTCCTTAACCATCCCTAGCCCTTTCTTATACTTTAATTAGAGACAGCGTCTCACTAATTTGCTGAGGCTGGGTTTGAACCTCCTGAACCACTGGGATCACTACTACCTCACCTGGCTAAATAGACATATATATTTTTTTTCTCCTATTTTCCTTCTCTTCAGAAATTGTTTCTTTTCTTTTGGTTATGTGATCGCACTATGTTGTTCCAGTTGGTCTTAAACTTGCTATCCTCCTGCCTTTACCTCCTAACTAGCAGAGATTAGAGGCATGTATTACCATGCCTGGGTAGACATTGTTCCTCTTGAAAGTTTTTGCTGAATTCTTCTAGCCAAACCCCATAACACTTTTTTTTCCGGGAGCTGGGGGAGGGTAGGGGGAGATACCGGGGATTGAACTCGGGGAAACTTAACCACTGGGCCACATTCATTAGCCCTATTTTTATTTATTTATTTATTTTATTTAGAGACAGGGACTTACTGAATTGCTTGGATCCTCACCATTGCTAAGGCTGGCATTGAACTCAGAATGCTCCTGCCTTAGTCTCCTGAGCTGCTGGGATTGTAGGAGTATGCCACCATGCTTGGCCTCCATAACATTTTTTAAATCTACATATGCTTTAAATGTCTAGTTGCTTTAGAGAGTTCATCAGTTGTATGCAACATATTGAAAAACATCCTGATGTACTACAAAATGAACTTTATCTCACATCTGGATCTTAGCACTTTTTTTTTTTTTCTGAAAACTTGGTCTCCATCAGGAAAGATTCAATGAAAACTTTATTCATAAAATTTCTGTGAGAATTAAAAAATTATTTGTTATATTTAATGAAAACTTGTTATTTCTGAAGTTATATGTAATAAGCACTTTAAATATTCAGTGAGTAATATATCAGAATCATACAACAAAGTACATGACAGAGGAATGATTCTGGTATTTGGGAAGGTACCATAATATACATCTGTGCAGTGCTATCCTTTGGATAGACAGTGGTCTTTAAAAGTGCTTTTTCCTGCCTTTTAATTAATAAATCAAAATAGAGACTTAGCAGCCTGCCAAGGTGGCACACCCCAAATCCCAGTAACTCCTAAAGCTGAGGCAGGAAGATGAGAAGTTCAAGGCCAGTCTTGGCAAATTTATTAGATCTCATATCAAAATAAGAGATTTTTGAGAAAGTAAAGCTAAGGTTGTAGTTCAGTGATAGTGTCCCAAGGTTCAATCCATACTACTGCTAAATAAATAAATATGTAAGAAAACTTAACCCTGATTCCTAAACTATCAACTTATTTAAGAAACTATTATATTCTATTTTATTGAGAATATGTGTTCAGCCAAGCTGATTAGTTCTCATTAAGTGAACTTATCACTTAGTTTGTTTTTTACCCAGTTTTTTTTCCCAGTCTTATTGACATAGCTCAAGATCCTTTAATAATGACCTTTGAACAGACAATACAATATGAAAAGGATGCCTAATTAGCACCTTTTCTCAATAGAGATTGAAATTGGAAAATCTATTCAAGATCCAATTTTTTGTGTATTTTGCTATATGGATCAGTGTGCTATAATTATATGATAAAATACACACAGATGTTTAAATGTCCATAAGTTATCTTACTGTGTTATAATTTTCTTTCTGTTTCATTTTTCAACATAATAATTAACAAAGATATTAATAAACATTTGGAAATACACTATTTTATTTACATACTTTCTCATTAAACTATGTGTTAATCTGTGTTTGGTATCTATAACCATAACTCCTGATAAAAATAACTTAGAAAAACAAACATTTATTTTGACTTCATAGGCTCAATCCAGTGTTAACCAGCTCCATTGATGAGGGCTGGAGGTAAGGCAGAACAACATGGCGGAATCACACATGAGTGTGGGAGACAGAGTGGGGGAGGCTGGAGGTTGGCACCAGCCACATAATGAAAACCCCAAAACATGCCTCTAGAGACCTACTTTCTCAGCCATACCCCACCTGTCTATAGATACCTCACCTGTCTATAGATACTGTCTATAGACTTAGTCCATTCAAATTAGGATGGACTGATTAGATTAAAACTCTCATGATCTGATCATTTCACTTCCAGTATTAACACAGGAATTTTGGGGAAGTATTACTTATTTAAACCATAAAATCTATTTTATTGTTTTTACAACTTTTTCTCTCTCCTGGAGAATATAGGTTCTATAACTTCACATAAAACCTATGGTGTATACAGAATATATTTATAAGCAGTATTTTTACATACTTATGTGAATATAGTATACATATAAACTGCCTGGAACACCATGAAAATATTCAGAGATGCTAAAAATGTGGCATATAAACAAATTAAGTCCGCTAATCAGACCCCCCCCTCATATCAGGAAATATACTTGTCAATCACTTTCCAATATACCATATTATTTTAGGAAGGTAGATATGTATGTATGTGTGTGTGTGTGTGTGTTTATATATATATATATATATAACCACAAAAACCAGAAAGATAATTCTAAGAATGTTTCCAAAAACATTAGTTAGGGATTTAATGTCAAGATATTTTTCTCATGTGATACTGTCATTTCTTCTGATAAAATTTAATTCTCATTTCATTTCCATTAAATTCAATATCTATAAAATTTTATTGACATTTTATATCTAAACTAATATTTTGTAACACTCTTCTAAAATTCCCCATATAAAAATAGCAACATTAAAAAATAACATTCTTGCTCTGGATTGAGTTTGAATTAGGCAATGACTTCAAATCACATTTTGCCTCATTGTATTTTTTGTTCCTCTTGAAACAAGTATGATGATTTGCATGGACTGATTCCTTATGGAACAATAAATTGTCACTTTTTATTGCAAAAAAAAAAAAATAACATTCTTTAACTTTTATTCTCTAAATTCAAAAACACACCTTGATTTTTCCTGTGCTTTAGAGAATGAAATAATCCAAATTAAGTAAAATTTGAAGAAAAGTTGATGACTGCATGTAGTAATGGGTGCTTCTAATACCAGCTTCTCAATAGGCCAAGGCAGTAGGGTCATAGGTTCAAGTTCAGTCTCAGCAACACAATAACAGCCTTTTTCAAAAACAAAACAAAATAAATAATTCCACCCCCCCACCTGAAGAATAGTATTCCATATTCCATATATATTTTATAATAATAGGTTATTTCATGACAGATGACATCTGTTAACCACTAATTAATTGTAATCATCATATTTACCAGGATGTGGGCTAGTCATTATTATCTAAACCTCACAACAAATATTGAAGAAAGGTACTAATGATTTCTGTTATACATATGCGAAACCCAGAGATCAGACAGATATAGCCATTTGCCCCGAGGAAATAGTAAAACAGGATGAAACTACAATTAAAGTTGAGATCTGTCTGTCCAGAGCATATTTTTCACTGAATTATTTGTGTGGCCAATTTTACTCATGCAAATTTTACCTCTATTCTACTTCTAAATGGAAGGAAAAGAACATATGCTTTACTTGGTCATTGTAGTCACATTATTGATAAATTTTGTATTCACATTTTTTTTTTTAATTTTAAAGTGCCCTTGGCTGCCTGTGTAGAATTTAGGATTCAACCACATTCTAGTTAACAGACTTAGCAATTTTTATTTAATGTGTTACAGGTTTTTTTTTTTTGTTTTTTTTTTTTTAGGTCAAGTGCAATTTAGCTTTTGTGATAAGACCATCATCACAAAATTTGTCTTTTAACACCATATTTTTTTAAATGCAAAATATTACACACACACACACACACACACACACACACAGCAAATCAAAAATAAACATATCAATGGCATGTAATTAATTCTGAACAGAAGGAAAGATAAGAAACCTTTTATTCTATCCTGAGATTAACATCATTTAAAGTGAATTCTGAATTATCCTAGAATAAATGCAGGATTCACCTGATCTAAGGATTTCACTTTGCTGGTCTTTTATTCTTGGAGTAAACATGGTGTCTAATTTCTTTTCTAAACTATAAACTTGAACATCCCACCATTAAGTGGAAACTCCTCCTGGAGTTTTCATGTTATGTGTTAGGTACAGAGACTTCTAATTTCACTCATGATAAAACTCTTAGAAATCAATGAGTCCAGGAAGCATAAAGAAAACAGGGTTTCTTCTTTCCATTATTCTGAAGAAAATCGGTATGAAGGGAAAACAGATGGTGGGATTGCTTTGTGCTGGTTTATGCAGTCTACCACTTGCTAGAAAGAAGAAATTTATTAACAGAAGTTAAATTACTTTGGTCTAGAAACATTGAGATGTTAATCCAAGCTTGTGATGTTTTGGGATATCATTTGTGTCTTTATTACTGTTCTATTGAAGTTATAATACACTATAAAATATACTCTTTCCTGAAAAGCAAAGTCCACACAAACAGTATATATCTAGACTTAAGTAAAAATGGGAGAATTTCCTTCACCCTATTAAAACTAATATCTATTCACACACTTGTACCTTGTATACACACTGCAAGTAATTGTTTCTGTCATTCAACTGAAAAGTTTTATTTTATTATTATAATAATTTCATATTTCTCATAAGGCTGACTTAGATCTTTTTTTTATTTTACAGTATTCCTCTACATTTTTGAATTTATTATAAGAACTTTTTCAAGATAGAGCTCATGTGGTAGACCTTTTTGAAGTTTTAGCAACTGAAGGTGTCATTTATTCATTTACTTACTCAACTAATGTATATTAAATGCACCTTTTGTGTCAGGCACTATTTGTGAAACAGAATAATTCTTCTTCTGTAAGGTAAAAGATTGGGAAAAAAGACTCAGAAAGATCATTATCTTGAACTAGAATTTGAAAGTAGTCTTCATTTGCTTTCCTTGCATATTTGATTTTTTAATGAAATATATGTTTCCAAAGTAAATTATCTAGAATTCCATTTTGTTGTTTTAGCATATTATTTTTTCTGTATTCTTTTGAACTTGGTTTATTTATAAGTTAAAGAAGGTGAATTTTAGAGTAAAAATCCTTTTACTAATAGTTTAGAAATAAGAATAGTAAAAATAGTTATTATCTAGACATAAATAGTAATTTTAATAAGGAGTATTATTAATTTTTAGACATTAGAAAATTCAATTCAACCCTTATATTCTCATTACTTACAAATAAGATAAAGCCTACCTTAATATTTGATTATAAAAAATGAAGTGAATTAAATATATGTGTGAGACAACTGTGTCTGGGATTGATACATTATGAACTTTCATTAATGTAACTATCAATATATTAATATCTCTTTCCATTGATATATATGTACAATCATTTGCACTACATTTGAAAAATAGGCACTGAATCATGTTTTAGAGATATTTTATGTGAAATATTTTGCAAGCTGCTAAAACTTCAAAAAAGTGTATCACATGAGCTCTGTCAAAAAAGTTCATATAATAAATTAAAAATGTAGAGGAACACTGTAAAATAAAAAGGATCTGAATCATTCTTATGAGAAATATGGAATTATTATAATTTATTTAGATTTTAGTTTTCTATCATGAGAGCATAAATACCAATGCCAGTAATTCAATATGTAGCAATCACAGGATGGGAATATATTTCAAAGTTTGAATAAATGATAATTTATTTTCAAATACTTAAATCTCACATTAATTAGAATGTAAGTATGAATCACACAATTTATTTAAAGAATATAGTCATTGTCATTATTTTTTATTTTTAGTGCCTTTGTTATTCATATATTTTGTAACATATTTTGAGTTAATAGTAATTTTCCAAAATCCACGTGTTACTAAACTATTGAATAGTTAATTTAATTATGTATACAATATGCACAACAAAGACAGTACATCTGAATGACCTGTGGAGTACTGCAGTTTTATCCCATGATCACGTGATAAACATGACCTTATCTAGTGACTACATAAGACATTCATTTCTGCATTCCATATTGAAAAAAAAAAACTGAACTAAGCTTAATTACTAAGTTTAAAAACTGAAGCTAATTCTCAAATTTTCTTCTGTTTCAAAGTTTATTTTTAAAATTTTTTATAAATATCATATTAAATTCTCAGAATAATTAAAAGAAGCAATAATATGCTTTAAGTCATTTATTCAGATCTGTTGGCACAAAATAATAATATATGGGAATTAATTAATTAATTAATAATGGTGCATACAGCACCATTTTAGAGAGTATTTTTTTTCCCTTGCTTACTATTCTTTGAATAGCAATCCAACCCGTGAAGCCCTCAGTATAAACCTGTCGATCATTTTAGTCATATTTTTGTCACTTACACTTTAACTCTCAATTTTATCTTAGTTATTTTATTATTTATTTATGATCTTGTGAAATTGAAAGCTCTTTTGTTCTTTTTTTAAGAGATGGAGAGAGAGAGAGAATTTTAATATTTATTTTTTAGTTATCGACAGACACAACATTTTTTTTTTTTTGTATGTGGTGCTGAGGATCGAACCTGGGCCACAAGCATGCCAGGCGAGCGTACTACCGCTTGAGCCACATCCCCAGCCCTCTTTTGTTCTTAATATTTATAAAAGATCTTCTGATATAATCAAAACCCTTTTATTTGTACCTTGAAAATGCAACATAGTGTAAATGATGACACTATGTTGTTGACACTGCCAATTGTATTGCTAGTGTTATAGAGTTCTTTGTAAAGTTGGACAAATGTATGGCTCAGTTCACTTTCTTCCTTGCCTTTCCAACCTGTAGGAATACATAACATCAAAATGGTAAATACGTTAATTTTATTTACTCTTTCCTACAGCTTTATGAAATATAATCTCCAACCCCTTCAAAAATTTGCTTATTTTTTTTCTGAAAGTCTCTAAAGGTGCTTTCACATGTATATTCATGAATAATTTTCTCTCATGCCTATTTAATTTATGATCATTTTATGCCTCTTCAGTGCCTCTGCATGTTAGGTCCTATGGGACAACACATTCACCCTTCTGTACTGTACATTCTCTTGATAGCCATCAAGCTGCACATACCCTGTGCTCTTTTGAGTCCTCAACACTCTGTCATATAAGCATACTCTTTGCACAAAATGGAATATCTCAGCCTTGTTCCTTGTTTGCTTTCTGTTTGTGAGAGACCCAAAGCTGAATTCCAAGAGCCAGTAGTTAAGAACTCAGACTTGAATAAAGACAGATGTATTTGGCCCTCTTTTTCTTTTTCCTTGTATCTAACTGTCCACAGACCACTTTCTTCTGCAATCAACACTGAAATTCTTCTTCTCTACCAAAAAAATACATATTTTAAAGTGTTTCTGAATTTTATTACAATTCAGAAGGAGTCTTGACTACATTATTGAATATATTATATATAGAGCATATCAAAATGTAAATATCTATACCTATGTGTACCTACTAAAAAGAATGTGGGCTTAAACTGGCTGACTGATTGGAATCAATGTTCTCTAATATATTTGCTTCTCTCCCATTGTAGGTGACAATATGTGCCGAGTCAATAATGGGGGCTGTAGTACACTTTGCTTGGCCATTCCAGCAGGCCGAGTCTGTGCTTGTGCCGATAATCAACTTTTGGATGAAAATGGGACAACTTGCACATGTAAGTTTCTTTTCTTGTCACACGTATTGTTTATATGCCTCATTCTGAAGATTAGAAAGAAACGGGTGAAACCAAAGGAATTACAATCAAATTGGAGGAGAAATTCAGAAAATTTCTTAGATATTATTCTTTCCAGACTACGAATTATTAAATGAATCAATTTCTAATGAACAGATAATTAATTACAGTGATGAGATTGGCAGAGTATTCTGTCAGTGTTGCATTAAGTTTAACAAAGAAAATTAAATAAGTATATGCCAAACAAGCAAATATTTAATGATATTGTAAAAGAACCTCATCATCAGCACTTGCAACTAAAATCACATAGTTGATGAGATAGTTAGTAGAACATGGGTTTAAAATGACTTAAAATGACTAAATGGGCTCAGCTATCTCTATTTGGTGGTGAAGTACAAGGAAGAAGGCAAAGAAAGAGACTTATAAGGAATTTATAGACTTTATCAAAGTAGTAAAATGATTAATTGAAATGATTGTCCTGGATTAATGGTACTTTTGTTAACTTTTACTGACATTCTCCAACTTATTGCACCTTATTATTCCAAAGTGACTCTTGAAATTTCTTATTTCTACCACAAATTGTCTCCCTTAAGAACAATAACAACAACAATATTATGCATGCACTGAGCTCTCTATAAAAATTTCTGAATGATTTAATTTTGAATTGTATGCTAGTTAGAGTTCTCCAGAGAAATAGAACCAGTAGGATGGATGGATGGATTTGTATATGTATATACACACACACATACAGTTTGAAGGATTTTATTGTGAGAAATCAGCTCACATAATCTTAGGTTCTGCAGTTGACAATCTGGAGATTAGATGCCAATGGACTTGAGACCCAGTAAAAGGTGATGTTCCAGTTCATTCTAAAGGCACAAAAGAACCTAAGGGTCCTGGGGTATTTAGACCCCAAATTACTTTATTATGGAGACTGAACTCTTAATTATCTTGTATGCTATTAGTTTTGAATAACAAACACTACAGTATAATTTATTTTGTTCTCTATTTTACTTATCATGTAACTAAATATTCTTTGTGAACATGATTTTTATTGACTACATTTTAAGCCATTAATTTTCTTTTCATATTTAATGTACTATTTATGATTCATTGTTATAGATATTTGTCTATTCCTTTATTGTTTATATTTTTCTGTATTTTACCTTATAGTCCATGGTCCATTTGTGTAAGATCCTCCTTAGCTATTTGTAATATTACTATAAGTTTAAATTCTATTACTGTCATTGGAATTTCAACTCTGAGATGAAGACTCTAGTTTTCTTTCTGCCCCTTTATTTCACTATATAAGTATAATATAGTTCTTATGTTATAATTTAGGTGTATAATTTAGGATTTCTGATCAATTATATTAATTAAAATCAAAAAGATTCTTTGTAAATGTATTTTGACATTGAACAATTAATTAATTTTATAATATTTTACAATACTTTTAGACCTATATTAGAGTTTCTTTAAGTATATTTTTAAATTCTTTGATCTTCGGTACACTGTAGTTTATTTATTAGTTTTCATTAATTTGTAGAATAGATGAAATATATCTTGAAGTAACTTTTTAAGGAGTATAAGGTATATATTGTCTAGTTCTTATGTATAGCAAATATGTCTTTACCTTTCTGTGTGAATAGCAATTCTTTTCAGTATGAATCTTCTCTTCAAAATTCTAGAAATGTTCTTCATTTTTTTTGTAGAATTTCACACTTCTAAACAAAAATATGTTTTATCTCTTTCACAATTTTCTCCCCCCCCCCCCTCTCTTGTGCTAGGAATTTAACCCAGGACCTTGTTCAAGATGTCTTACACTGGCCTATCTCCCCAACCCTTTTTAGATTTTACTTTGAGACAATCTATTGTCCAGGCTAGCATCAGAACTTGAGACCCTTCTGTTCAACATCCCAAGTAGCTAAGATTACAGGTGTTTGCAACCATGAACAGCATAAGTTTATTTCCTTTGGTAAAGGAATGTTAAAAATTACCTACAATGTGATTTCTGTAGAAGATAATTCTCAAAGATATATTTTCCTTAAGTCCCCAGGTGAATTTTTGTCTTCCTTTTTTTCTGTAGGATGATTTTCAATTCATATTTTCTTGTAGTTTATTTATCATCAGAAGAAAAGGGACCTGTCAAGACTAATTGTTCACCAAAAGTCAGGGCTTAAGCATGTCTTTAGATAACTTAAAGTCTATCAAGGTACCTTCGAGGCTGAACTTTATTTTAATCCTTGGGAGGAAAGTTGTGGTTAAAATATTCATTTCATAGTTTAAAAAAAAATCTCTAAGGATGCATTTAAAATTGCTTTTCTGGAATAACATGGGACTTTCTGCTAACCCAGTGGATGACTTTGACATCCAACAAAAAGAAAATACACACACACACTCACACACACACACACACACACACTCTGTTAGCCTTTATGAATTTCCACTTGATTTCATCCTACTTTTGCTCCAGCCCTAGACTTCTTGCCAAGGATGGGCAGTATATCTGAAAGCACCTTCCTTCATGTTGGTTCAGGCCTTGAACTCCATTATGCAGTACAAAAATCTATCATCCTGCTTAAAATTTGAGAGGCTTACTCAATATACAATGACATGTTTAAGTTTATTCTAAATGAATTTTTAAATCTAGTCTTATTGACCTTGAAAAACGTAAAAGTTGCCTCATAATAGTATCAGTGAAATGATCAAGAGAATGAGCTCAGAGATCCTGGGTTTTCACTTTTGTTCTTTGTCATTGTAGGAAGTTGAGGTACTAACATCTAGATAATATGCTAACCTTGAAATTTTTTCTTCAGCTCCTCAATTTCGGTTATATGGTTCACAGACCTTTTAATTATTTTTCCTTCTTTCCTTTATTCTATGCTACATTAAAAGTTTATGAATCACTTTAGAGTAAGCATAGATAGAAGAATAAATAGATATGGAAAGATATTGATAGATGGATAATATTACCAAAGAAGGGAGGAAATGCATAAACTCATAGAAAATTATTGTAACTATAAAAATGCACTGAGTTGGTATAAGCAACTGTGATAAACAGAAAAAAATGAACTGTGCACTGGTAGAGAACTGCCTAGTATGTACAGGGCCCTGGGTTCATTTTCAACACCCAGTATTTCTTTCTCTCTCTCTCTCTCTCTCTCTCTCTTACACACACACACACACACACACACACACACACACACACACAATTGGGATAAGCAGAAGACAAAACTAAAAGTGCTACTATTATATAACATAAAAGAAGTAAAATTCTGCCAGGATAATTTTTTATCTCAATAAATTTAACTATATAAATTGCCTATTTCCATATACATTCTTGTGGCTCAAAAATAGTGAAAGTTTGGTTAACAGCCAGAGGAGTTAAAATCAGCATACTGCAGTGATGTAGCCACATCAATCTTTATAGCATCTCAATTCACAATACCCAAGCTATGGAGCCAAGCTAGATGCCTACGAACAGACAAATGGATAAAGAAATTGTGGTATATATACACACAATGCAACTCAACCATAAAGAAGAATGATTTTATGACATTCTCCAGTAAATGGATGGATCTGGAGACTATCATGCTAAGTGAAATAAGACAAGCCCAAAAAACCAAAAGGAGAATGCTCTTTTTGATATTTGGATGCTAATCCACAACAAGGCAGGGGTGGGGAGCATAGAAGTCCAGTAGATTAGATAAAGGGGAATGAAAGGAAGGGATGGGAGTTGGGAATAGGAAAGACAGTGGAATGAAATTGAAGTAACTTTCCTATGTACATGTCTGGATACACCACCATGAATCTCAACATGGTGTACATTCACAAGACTTTGATCCTAATCAGAATAAGATAGTCCATGTTTGTGTTAATATATCAAAATAGATTCTACTGTCATGATGTATAACTACAAAGAACAACAGCAACAAAATGTTTCAGGAAAAAGAGCCATTCATCGCTTCTCCATTGTAAGTTCAAAACTTGCTTTTTTTCCTGCACCGAAAGTAGAATATAGAGAGGCTTATTGGGAATTACACTGACCCCTAACTCAACCTGTAATCATTGGTGTGTCAGCCTAAGAGAGAGTAAGTGGAGAAGACATGATGTCTGCGCCTGCTGCTCCTGTAGTTTTAGTAAGCACATATAAAGCACTCATACACAGCATTGGGGGTATCATTAAGACAGTGGCAAATGCTTCTCCTCACAGCCACATAATCAACTTAATTTGAAAGTGTATTTTAATTGTTCACTTATGTTTTTTCCTGGCTACTTCATCTCATAGTTAAATGTTGTCTAATTCATCAAGTTTGTCCTTCATTCATGTTTTAACAAATTTCACACATGTTTAAATATCATGGTCGGAGGAGATACAGGAGATATTGGCTTGGGTGTTTGTTGTATTCTATTAGAAATGGCCCTGTCTCTTTTCCCAAATCCATAGATGAGTTTTCACTGTGGTTTTCTTGCCCCTGTCTTTCCTTTGTCTTACTGGCCTTTCATCCAACATTCTGCCTTATGTAGTTTGTCTCTTGCCATAACTGCCAAACCAAATAAAAACAAAACATGTTCAATATTTTCTTGGAAGCCAGAGATACAAATATCTTTAAAGGAACTCTAGCTGAGCACACACTCCAGGAGCACTTGGAATGATCCATACTGACAGGCTTAACTGTAGGGGGGAAAGCAACAGAAAGATAAGTTTTTATTTATACATAACCCAGGCTATTGCTGGATATCTTTCTGTAAATAAAAATCAGATGACTTTGACTCATAAGAAAATATTGTTCATAATGTTGGTTATAAAACCGATGTTAGGACATTTGTTTACTATTGTTGTACATGTGTAATTATATACTTGGTAAAAAGTAGAGAAAATTTTTCTGAGACTATTGGTCTTTTTCTAGTATCTATAATTCATAGATGCAGTAATCTCAATGAAACAGAAGGGAAAATAAAGAGAATTTTATCTTTACTTT